CGCTAAGGTAGGGAGGAGGGAAGAGAAGGAGGAAGGATGGGGGATGGGGAGAGGGAGACTTGGTTTGGAACAGAGCTGTACCCCTTGGTTATCTTGAGTCCTTGGCCAATTTAACCTCCTTGTATCTCAGACGTCTCATCTTTAGAGAATATAGCATTGACTTCCTGGGTTGCTGTAAGGACTAAATGAGAATCCCTTAGTACAAGGTCTGGTCCTTAATAAATATGCAAATATTTTGTGTTGTTATTTTCTTTGTTACCAAGATAATAATAAAATGATTTTTTTATGTGATGATGTGATTTGTTGTATAGTGATAGACATTTGAAACTATTGGCCGTGTGTAATTCTAATCTCTTAGGTTTGTTGATTCTTACCTGAATAAAGCAAGATGAATTCACTGATTCTCTTGTGTTTCAGCACAAGTTTTGGGGTTATGATAAAACAATTATGTTTTCTCCAAAGAACTGGATGGCCCCTGGTCAGGAGGAGGGTGAAGAAAAGGCTTGCATTTTGGGAATAGGAGGACAAATTCTAGTAATTGCCATGGGAAAGTCCCACCCCCTTTCATTCTGTTTTTATGAGATGATCATTGAGCATTGGTCCGTATGCTTCCTGCACATTCCATTCAAAATATTTTGAGATGTTAGGATCATTGAAGGTTGTGCTTGTCCTGGTTTTGACTAGGAGAGCTACTATCAGCTGGACTTCTGTGTTGCCAAATCTTATTTGGCAAACAGGAAAGTCCAGAGTACCATTCTCATTCAGTGCACATGTAATTGGTCAATAGCCAGCTAATAAATCTGATGGTTAACTTTTGCTTTAATTAATAAAATGTACTCATACAAAGCAAGCACTGTAAATGTATACACGTGTGTGTACATGTATATATACATACACATATATAAATTATACAGAGTTGTATAATATCAAAATGTTCATTACAACATAAATATACAAAGAGTACGATGTTACTAAAATTGATGACTGTGTAATTTTATTTGCCTCTTGGGAATCAATTGAGCTATTGATTCCACAGCAAATGTGTTTTGATTAAGATCATGGCAAGATATGTTTGACAGCAATTTCAAATTATTAGAGCTTATTATATATTTAAAGTCTACAGTCAACTGAGATTGTATGTATCTGATTTTAGCTTAGGGAGATAAATCTATCGATATTTTGTCCCAGGAACTATATCCTCAATGCTGTACAATTACCATGCGCTCCATAAAACCCATACCCTTTTCTGAATGGTGTGGAATATCGTGTGATGCTCAGTGCTTATGTATATACTAAACAGGATTAGAATCATGAATGTAGAGATTAATATGCTTTATGTATATTTACAGTATTGCTTTTAGGCATATATATAAATTGAATCTGCATTAGTTGAGTTTAATAGTGAAGGATTGGTTTCTTAGCTGTGAACATTGTTATTCATGGTGTTTATTTTGGTTGTGGCTGTGGATGATCCTGGAAAATCATGGAAAGAGACATATTTCCAAGGAAAACTTAATTTCTTAAAAAAACTCTCGAGAGGTGTTTTATTTTTCCACTTTTATATGAAACTAAAATGTATATCCTGTCTTTAACACATGTAGGATTATTCAAGAATAACAATAAAAAAAATCATGAAAATACAGTGATATTTAAATGTGCTAAATGGAACGTGGGCCCAGTCAGGTTTTCATGATTTATCAGTTTTTAACTTCAAAGACTCTGGTTGGCTTGCATTTTTTAAACTAATGAGTTTATCACAGCCTGTGAGGAGCATGGTTAAAGTCTATCAGCTGTAAATTGGTACAAAGCACTAAGAGGGACATTAGCCTCTAATCAGATTCCAACCAGTTCATTAAACCTGTCTTTCCAGAATCGCTCTTTGTCTTTTCCCTGCCTTTGCAAGGCATCTTCCCTTTTCCTCTGGGCAAGACCTCCTCCGGGGTAGGAAGCAATATCAACTCATTCTTCATTGTCTACCAACCAAACAGCCTACGGGATGCTTTGTTAGGGTAGATTTCTGGCTGCTGTGAAGGGCAGGGGCGTGGAGGGCTGGCCGGCTGCAGGAAGGCTTTCTTGAAACTGGGTGGTTGCAAGCCAAGCTGGCTGCTTCCAACCACGGAAGCAAGTGACACATTAGGATTTGAGATCCATGCCTGATGTGTAAGCAACTCACCAGCCTCCATGAAAGGATTTAAAGCTTGGAACACATTAACTGAGCTTGCCAGGGATTCCACAGTTCTTTCTGCTCGAAGCTATTAGGATGCAAAATGCCTAAAAAATATGGACAAGTCAAAAGCACAAATTTAGAAAAATACATCCTGCCAGTTTTAATAATATTGCGCATTTCTAAGAAAAGAATCTGACAGTAGTTTCTTTCCTTTTTATTACATAATAGACTAGGTAGCATGGAGTTTTTAAATGCTCATTAGTTAGCTCTAGAGTAAATTTGCCTTTTCTTCTTGTTGATGTCTCAGAGCAAATATTTCTGATAAGAGGCCCTATAAATTTTATTTCTTATTTTTCTTAAACAAAAAGGAGTGGCAAGAAATAGAGATAATTAGAGCTTTACTATACTGCACTCTGTTGGTATTATTTGGTAATAAAAACATTTATGATTTATCAAAGTGGGAGTTGTTTTTATTTAACTATTTGATAGAAAAGCAACTATGTGAGAGGCAGAAACCTGAAGATTTAGAAATGCTACTAACCTTTGTCATCAAAGGTAGGCAAAATATTTAGAAACAGATCTCTCTCTCTTTTTTTTTTTAAGGAGACCACTTTAGAGTCATGTGCTTACATTCTATGATTGAGCAAAGGAGCCATTCTAAAAACTCAAACTTAGTCATTTCAGTTTCTTAGTTTGGTCAGTAGATGAAGGTAAATTTGACATTCTAAACATGTTTTAAAACGTGATTTTGGCCTGAAGCAAGCAATAGTAAGTGTCTTTCGAACTCCCTTCATAGGTTATTGACTTTAGAAAATCCCCAAAGCAGTGAAAATTAGTAGAGAATAACCTTGATTTAATCTTTTCATAAATATTGTTTGAAATTCTAGTGAGTCACAATAGAAATAAGGTTCTCCTTTCAAGAAGTGGTAAATTCAGCCAAACACATACCAAAATAGAAAACAAATTGTTACTTATTTTTTGGTTGTGACTTGAGCTTAAAAATTCACTCTCAATCCAAAATTTATATGAGTTGTTTTTGAAATAGATGTTTGGGGTCAATACATAGAAATTTTCCTTTGATCTGAAGTGCCATACCGAAGTTCAGTGTCTAGAATTATATTATCTTGTTTTTAAAATTATTTAGACTTTGACGATAATATGAGAGTACGGTCATTTTTTATCTTTTTCTCCTTTGTGGATTTCTGCACACATACAACCTCTGGAACTAAGGAAGAAGGAAACATCCTTCTCTTTCCTTCCACTATTGCAAAAGTGTGATGAATTGTTCCAGCCCCATATAAATTAATGTTCAGGTTTCTTTACTTCAGTTTATTATAGTCTGACCTCCAACCCAGAGGTCAGAGAATCAGACTGATTAATTCAACTTCTTGGTCATTATTTCAAATGATAGTTCAGAATGGGGGGATAATTGGTTATGCTGATATTCTCATTTAATTATACTTCATTGTTAAAAAAAATTAGGTTAGCAGTACTAAATGTACTACTATGAAGGAAGAGTCTACCAGATGCCCTCATTTGAATGCTTTATAGCTGACTTTCCCTCTCTCTCTCTGTTTTTACTCTCAGAATATCAACACCTTTGAGAACAGAATGTTAATGCTTGATGGGATGCCGTCAGTCAGAGTCAAAACAGAGCTTTTGGAATCTGAACAAGGGGTAAGTTTCCAACGATGCCGCACCCTCTTCTCTTTATGATAGCGGCAGTCATTTCCAGAGCATCTTGACGTTTGCTGGCCTATGCTTTTTTCTCTCAAGTAAAGATCATCTGAGACTGGTTGATCCTCATCCATTTGCAACCTCAAACATTACTAACTTGGAAAAGACAACTTCCAGAAACTAGGAAGACACAGTGACCTTATAAGAACCATATGGTTTTATTTAAGTTAGTGAAGGTTTTGAAAAGCTAATAAAAATCCAAAGCAAAGAGGAATTATTAAAAAATAAGATAGGAATATAACCTCCATGCCAAAATGGCTTGTTTCTTTCTTAGGAAGTTACGGAGTACAGGTATGGGAATGTTCCTGTTTGTTGGATCGATTTTTCTTGTGACATTTGTATTTACCCTTTTATATACCATGAGGACTAAAGGACAGTTGATGAAATTTAAGTTGGTGAGTTTGAAATGCAAATAAAGCGAAAGAAGACTTATATAACAATACATATCAAAATTGACAACGCATGGCTAGTGAAAATACGAAGACTTAAGGACACAGCTGGATTTCTTTTTTAAAAGAACTTAGGTGATTTTGTAATTGTTAACATTTGTAGCTTCGCTAGTTAAAATTATAATAAGGGCAATATGACTGCTTGCAGCATTGGCTGACCCCGTTTTGTATCTAAGTGAGAAAGCACAGACCGCGTGCCCGAGGGCACACTGCCTACCTGTGTTACTGACTCACAACCACTGAGACACTACAGATGTCCGAAACAAGGGTAAATTAAGTAAATATTTAATCTTAATCTTATTAATGTATCTCTTACCAAAAAAAAAAGCAAAACATTGGCAGTGTTTTGTAAGCGAGCAACCAGAAGACATTTTAAATGTAAATAAAATTTCACTTAAGAAATCTGTGTGCATGAGTTCATGTGGGACTCCATTCAAGGGGTTCGGATGCTGATGTATGAGAGGGACTTCATAATGAGGAACTGAGGGCATGAATCCAGATGGTAGCATGTAGAGGGTTTCTCCAATAACTTCCCTATCCCTGAGCAATCTGTGGCGAGATGTATGGCATCTCAATGCATAGTTCTCTTCTTCACGCTAAGCCTGTGTCTGAAACAGTTTATATTCAGTGTTGATTGTTGTAGCTCTGCAGTGAACTTTGTGGGGTACGTCAGCCAATAACACACCTTCTCCGTTCTGTGCATGACATGATGACAAACTCACATAGGTTCGACCTAACACTTAGCGGAGCATCGTGGCCGAAAACACCGTGTGGTGGCGATTGGTATTATTTGTTCATTGTAGACAAGGCTTCAGAAAAAGTCCTGTGTTCACCTGGATTTTCTAGCCTACTCACCAAGTTAAACTCTATGTCTTCCAAGCCAAGTAGTTTTTACCTTTGCTGTTGAACCTAACATAAGAAGGATTTGTTTTATTTCTTTGGAATTTCTGTTTTCTTAATCTAAGTGCATGAGCATCAGTTTCATAAGATACATTTCTACACACCACGTGTTTAAGTTGAACACACCACAGACCAGAGTGTCTCATTCACAGAGGATAACGTTTTTCCGTCGCTGATGGAAAAGTGAAAGAGTGGTATATTCCACATTGTTGCTTTTATTTCACGAGATGTTCTTCAACTTGAATAGCAGTAAATCTACTCAAGTCATGCATGTTGGAGGAAGGCAGAGAAGTACAGAGAGTATTACTTGCGCCACTGGTCGGAGCCAGGGTGGTGTATCGTTGTTATTAGCTCTGGGAATCTTTGAGGATGTCAGGATACTTCTCCTTTACTGTCAGTTTTCAGGGGTAAGGTAAGGTTGGCATGAAGGATTTAGATGCACAAAAAACAAAAGCCAGGATTCCCAGGGGTTTTACATTGTGAATACGAACCTCATGCCACATTACTTCTAGACATTATTTACTGCCCTCAGATAGGGACAGGGAAAATGGTAGGTTCATAGGTTTTACTTAATGCTTAGTCATTAAAATCAATTTTCCTCCTTGTGAGTGGAGCTGTTGTTAGTATTTTAACCCTAATTTAGATTGTGCATGTTGAAGGCAAGTAGAAACTTGATTTTATTCTTTTCCTAAGCTTTGTATGTACTTCTTAAATATATGGCAGATAATAATTTTGTTCTCTTTTACAGTAAAGCTTTAAGAGAAGCAGCCCAGTGTTTAATGAAATGTATTATGACCTAATTATTTATGGAGTACAGTAATTTGTATTTAGTCATTTATAATATTTCAGATCCATTCTTCTTTAAAATTAGGGATGAAATCTAGACTTTTAGGGAACTTCGCTTTTGGTCATTTTACTGGAGTTTTTAATTGGGGTATAACGGGGCTGGGTGATATATGGTATCACTTCAGAACCAGAACTATTTTAGTTAGATAAGGAATACTAGAATTCTAAACATTTCCTTATTTCCGTCTTATAGGACTCTTTCCTCATTTCCTGTTAAAAGCTGGTTGAAGTTTGATTATTTTTATAAGAAACTGTAAACAGTGGTGAAATTAAGATAATCCTATGTGTGATTATGGGCTTCTGAAAAAGATGTGAGATATTACTAACAAGGAACACAAAGTTATAGAAATGAATCTGTGCATCACAACAATGAATGAGAAAGCCTGAGCTTGATGTCAAGGATTGGATTCTGTAATCACTCTGGAAGACCTAATTTCAAGGGTGTTTTTAGGACATAGACATTAAACGTCCAGTCTTTTGGGGAAGAAAAGTTTTTTGTGTCTTTCAGGCCCCGGGCGGCATTGTAAAGATACACTACCTTACATGGCCCTCCTTTCTCAGTGCAGCGTGCACGCATATATCCGTTCTCCTCTCCTGGCTATAAATAGTCCCTGTCAGCTGGTCTATACATATCCCCCCAGCCTTCCAAGGAATTCAGGACCCGATGACCACATTTCGGAGCTGGAAGAAAGACTGTGGAATGGGTCTAGGTTTGCCACTCTGCTTTCTCTCTTCTCTGAAAAGTTCTGGCTGCCTTGCCTCATTCTCTTAATAGTTTTATGGTGTGTGAAGGTGGTCATAGCTCTTCAATCAGATTGTAAGCTCTTAGAGGACAAGAATTGTTTCCTGTATTTTTCTTGTAGGTCCTGGCACCTGGCGAGTGGTTAAGAAATACATGTTTTGCTTGTCTGGGCATTATAACTGGCATGGTGAAAAAATATGAAACCAGTCATTAGCTCGTTATAAACCCACTCTGTCAACTTCCTAGGGTTGTTGTGAACAAAAAAATAAAAATTGGAAATGTTGGAAACAGACATTCTCATTGGTGGCATGGTGTTCATCTTGTAGCTATGTGAACTGAACAGGTACAGTAACATATGGATACCAACTCTGTGTGCCCGCCTTCTGTTTGGAATTCTGTGACTCCTGCATCCTTAGTTTTATGATACCTAAGTAGATTATTATTGTAGTCTCTTGAAACGTGACTTCAGTTTTCTTCGGGCTTGTCGGTAACGCAGCACATGCTGCTAAGCAATCCGTGGGAAGGGCGTGAGCTCTTGTGATACGCTTCAGGGGCACAGCAAGGAGGGTTGGAATGACTTTGACTGTGACCTTTGGTGCTTGTGTCCTGCTGTTACAAGAGCTTCCCAGATGCTGTCAGCCTTTGGATGTTCTAACATGTTATTAAGCAAAGGACTAAAGCAGGAGGAAGAGGACTGGAACGATTCCACCCAGAGATAAGGCGGTGACAGAGAAAGGGTACTGCCTCAAAGACATAAAATGTGATTTTTGTTCCTGGCCTTGCAGCTCACCAGCTTGAATGGCTTTGGGAAGTGACTTCATAACTCCAGGCCTCTACGTCCTCATCTGTACAGTGGGGGTGTTAAGACTGGCCCAAGTTCCATCTGACATTCTTTGAGTCTGGTAATGGGCCAGGAGTGAGAAAAAGCATTTCCCATTGGGAGTTTAACAGTCCTACCACAAGGAAGCCACCTGTGTGTGGAGGTAGAAATACATAGACTTTAAAAGGGGACAGACCCAAGTTCAGATGTTCACTCTGCCAAGGGCCAGCCGTGTGGGTCCCCTTGGTCTCTATTTCTATTTCTCCTCTTCTGGGAAGTGAAGTGAACTGCAGCCTCCTAAGAGCCTGCCTGCATGCGGTGGGTGCTGAATAAATGTTCTCCCTTTGAAGAAAAGCAGGAATAAAAAGGGCCCCATTGTTTCAGTTTCTATGGATGCAAGTCTCATAACGTATTTAGTAGAGATTAAACATCTGGATTCATTTAGAATTGTAAAAGAAGATTTAAGGTAAATCTCCAAGTGCAACCCTTATTTTTTATTTGAATTTTTATTTAAGCGTATCTGAAGAAATATTCCAAATTCTGATTAGATTTTATCACATAAAAAATGGGATAATGGAGCCAGAAATCAATGATTATATTAACACAAAAATGACATCCTATTTTGGTGTGACAGTGGTATCTGACCACAATTTTTAAAAAAGGAGTTCTGAGTTTGTACACTTCTGAGATAACTTACCGCTATATTTACAGGTGAGATGATTAGGTGTCTGGGATTTGCTGCAAAGTGAGGCGGGAGGGCAGAATGGATGGGGAGAAAGATGAGCTAAGACTGGCCAGGAGTCCATCATTATTGAAGCTACACAACCGGTACCCGGGGGGGGGCTCGTGTAACCGTTCTGCCTAATTTTGTATATATTTGAGATTCTTGAAAGTAAAATGTTTAAAAAAGAGAAGAAGCCCTCTACATAAAAACAGAAAAATTCATCGGTGCACAGGCGTCAGAGGGAGTCCTGCAGGAAGCATGCCTCACCCAGCCCCCCTCACTGTTCTCTGAGTGCGGGTAAGGAGCTGACCTGAGTCCCTCCCCCAGCCACAGCTGTGCTCAGGCCTGTGGTTACCCCTCCTCTCCCTTCCCCTGAGGGCAGGTGCATTTCTGATCCATGGGCCTTTAGGTAGAGAGTGGTAGCTAGAGTGGAGCAGAGAGAGGGAGAAAGACATTGGG